TAATTTATGACAAACGTGAAAAACTGCCATGTAAAAAACTATCGACCAATTCTCTCTCCTTTTCTAATAGTCCACATCTGGCATAAATTACTCCAATTTTGAAATAAATATAAGGAAAGTTATAGCCTATATACCTTCCACTCATGAGTACAGACAGAGGGCTTTCATAATCATCATAATTACAGCCCTTCACAAGTCCACAGCTGAACATAGGCCTCCCTCAAGGAATGCCATAAAGCACGGTCCTGAGCCACCTGCATCCATCAACTTCCTGTATGTATTACTAGGTCATCACTGCAGCCTTGTACCGGTAGGCGTAGTGTCGCCCTACACTACGCCTACCGGTACAAGGCTGCACTCGAGAACCTTTTTTCTCCATCGGTTGTCGGTTCCTTGAGCTATATGACCGGTCCGTTGCCACTTCAGCTTACTAGTGCGTTGGGCTATGTCGATCACTCTGGTTATACCGCGGATATCCTCATTTCTCAGTTTATCACGCAGAGAAACTCCGAGCCCTTTCCATAGCATAGCCCCTAAGGCTATGCTCGGAGAGAGTTTTAGGCCAAGGAAATGTCCACCGCGCTGGCCCTGTGTTTTGGTCGACTTCACATGATTTATTTTAACTTTTTGACGTGCAGGTTTCCACATAATTTTATCCTTCACCGCCGAGCACGTATTAAATCAACACTTAAAATTGCAACTACCATCTCATCAGTGCTGGCGGGAATCGAACCCCGGTTGGTCGTACTGTAAAATTTATAGCATACATAATGATTTCTGATACTTACGCGAACACTACACATTGAATAAAACTAAAACTACTACTTTGCAGCACCCATGGTCACGGGGGACTGAGGTGATTAACGTCCTGATCTCAAAGTTTACTCAGAGTACCTTCGGCATGTTGAATTATTACTTTTGGTCCGATCTACGTAGCCACCGTCTAGGATATGACCAACGCTTCAGTAAGTATGCAGGTTGTGATCATATCCTAGTCAGCCCCCACCATTCTATCAGATTTGATAGAATAAAAACACTCGCGACAGAAGATCGATTCCTATTAAGGACGATACGTGAGGCTATTGAAACAAAAAAAGCATCCTTATTTCAATAAAGAAAGAGGCTTGGTCCTAACACGTGCCTGAGATCTAATAATTAATATAATTAAGTCCCATACTTCTCTCATTATTGTGTTTCACCTTTCCGCTGTCGCCGACCATACTATTTCTAGAATATTGAACGTCATAATAATGATCAGTCATTCATCAATTACAGCCTAAAAGTCCACAACTAAACGTAGGCGTGACGTATAGATAGCCTTATAGGGGGTAAATTGCCATAGTTGCCACGCTAACAGGCGGGTTGAGAACTGCAGTTGTGAAAATTTTTAGTTGTTATCTGGAAGATGATGCTGCTCATCATCTGTTTCAGTTTCCGTCATTCGTCTCTTATGACACCATGCGACACCATATGACGTAATAGTTATTCTTAAACCGTCACATTATGATTAAAACTAGAAACACTGACGCATAAAATATTTAATGCTTCTAAAATATGACTAGATCCCATTTAACGTTTCGATTGGTCTTACATTGTTTTTTCATTTTTCCGTTTTCAAAATGCCGTAATTCCTGAATTATGTCATTTACACACAGTTTCGATACTTATTATATATATTCGTTCTATAATACAATTCTTTACGTATAAATTGAATTATTAGGAGTAATAATGGAATTTATAGTAAGATGAAGCTAATTCTTTCGTTTAGTACAAGAACTTATAATGAAAAATTGTTTGCGTAGAAAAACCCGAGGTAAATTGCTAAGGAATATTCTCATTTAATTTTTTCATTACTTTGGTTGTTGTCCAATTTCGTAAGTCAAGAATTCTCAGATGAATATTTTCATAAGAGTCCTAAATATTATTCAGTACTTTATCAACTAATCATTTCTTTAATTCAACTTTTAATGTACTCGTAAAAGGACAAGAATAGGATTTTAATTTATTTTCATTGTTTTAAGTGATTAATAATAGTGTTATTATAAATCACATAGCATAACAAATAGATACGCACCCTATCGAGGATGACAACAACAAAGTACAGCACAGAATCATTTTTGTAAAAAACAAGGCTATTATACACATTTTCAAAAATTGTATTAAATGAACCACTATAATATTTATATTTTTTTTAAACCGAATAGTGCCATAAAAATTACTTTTAATCTATCGTTTTAAATTTTTGCGGGAAATCGCTAGCCGCCATGCTGTTCAACACGTGACGTCTCTGTCCTGATTTTGCCGATTTTGCAAAAGAGTGAGATACTTTTTAAATTTTAGTAATGAGTTATCATCTAAATCATTGTTGAGTTGTGCCTGAATGCAAAAATATGAGCATAAGAACGCCAAGAAAGTTATGGTGGTATATTTAAGTGCCAATTTAAATATTAAAAATAAAACTGGTAAGAAAACACCCGAATACATTGTATATAAAAACCAGACTATTCCACTGTGAAGATCATTTTGATGTAAGTATTACTTAAATTTAACTATCGCATAATACAAAACGAAACACTATGAGGTGAAATGTATAAATCAAATTTGGTAATAAATTACGTTAACTTAGATATTATAACTAATAATTTTAATTATACATAAACGAAACTACTAAACTATATTTTATCGAAATACAGTCTGAGCTGGTATTGTCCTTGTATAAACAAAAGTTGGTTATAGGTACTGATGCATTGATGTTTTAACATTCCTCAACTCAGCAGAACGAAAATTGAGATTGCCTGCAAAAAATTTTGCCACCATCAGTTTATTTATTCTTGGTAGGTCAGTACTTTCTGCTTTTGCAAATTGGTCTTCCATGATGCCTTTTCAATGAAATTCGGAATAAAACTCAATAATCGTAATGATAACTTAAAAATTTTCGAAATAACACAGCACCTTAGCTAGTTCTCTTAATAAGTGACATAGAACGCTAAAAAACGGGATCAGTGACGTCACTTTATTGTAATAGGGCGGACAGCGTTTTGCAGATTTGAGGCACTGACCAAAAAATATTCTTAAAATTGAAATATAAAATTTATAATGCAATTTATAAACAGAAACCAATATTTCTCGTTTACTTTCTACGAAATCTATTATAAATATATTTTTTTACTTCATTTTACATGATGTAAAATACCCTATTGTAATGCTTATGCATCATAGACATTCTATAGTAATGTTTAAGTATCATAGACCTTACTATCATGAGTCCCTAATCTAAGACTATACATTGTGCAATAGTACTATAGTAGTCGATCACTCGCCCACTCCATGTATATGTACACCCTTGAGTATGCGTCTCCGGTAGCTTTATAGATAAGCAAACTTTTCACGAACACTCTCAATGTATACATGAACACGCTGCTACTCTACACGAACAAGCTCAATGACTTAGACAATTTTAGACCAATTTTCCAATTATTTTATAAATGTTATTTATCTTTATTATAATAATATTTTCACGTTGTATTTCTATTATACATTTCGAATATTTTAACAAATTTTAGTTAATTTATTAATTTTGAAAGGCAACATTAAGCCTTTAACTTACTATAATATGTACTTAATGTCTGGAATGTATTTATTTCAGCTTTATGGTTATTATTGTATTTTAATTGATTAAAATACTACTTCTAAGATATTTTGACGGCTTTATATAGAAAAAAAATATTAAGAATAATAATGGGCCGTCAAACAATGTTCAATTCCGTACGGAACAAGTATTTGTATGGCCTAAAAACAATTGTTCTGGGTCTGGACGTTTATTCTTGTAAAAGTCATGTATGTAAAATGTCTTCATTAAGCATAAAATCCTATAATTAGTTAACTTAATTCGATATGTTGTTCGTGATATTGAAATATTTGTTATTTTTGTATTGTGTCACTTGAGTGAGTAAATATTTAGATTTGCCTTTTTTGTAGGTAAAACATTAAAAAAAACGTAGCATTTTATTTTTTATTGTCCTTAATGGGTCAAATTTATCCCTTTTTCGGTGGAGAACTTTTTAATAGCAACACTTACGAAATGTCAAAACTCTAAGAAAAGAAAAATCAGATTTTAACGTGGATGTTGCATTGTTTAAAAAATTGTAATGAGTTCATGTCTCCTGGCATTTTTCTTAAATAATTCATACTAGAGCTTGTATGAATAAAGTTTTATCAAAAAAGAAAATAAAGGTTTTTAATTAAGTGATAACTAAATCACAAATAAATTGCTGTAAATCCTGTTCTCGAATAGTAACCGCACACGTTCTACATGTACCAGTTGTAAAAAATTAATAAATTGGCTAGAATATGAATGTAGCAGGGTGTGGTTATTTATTTTTTTTGGTGTAGTTATCTTTTTTTTTTAAATACAAGATGGATTAATTGGTGTTTTCTTGACCGACGGCTACAGATATTATCGTATTAAGGCTTTGTCACACAGGACGCGTATTTTAGCGCAGCGTAGTAGCGTTATAGCGTCCCGTTTTAACGTCGCGCGAGGCTTCGTCAAACAGAACGCTTTAGCGCGCGTTAGGGCGCTGACTCGATGACACGGCGCCGCCATTTCGCCATTCGCCAAAGCGTAGTGCAGATCGTTAGCAGTGTGAAGAGTTTGTTCGTGAGTGATTCAGATGTGGAAGAATTATTACTTTTATATGCTTTATCACGGTCACAGAGAAAAAGAGTATGGGTGCACGACATCAATCAAAAGAGAAAGGATTTAGAAGAATATCATCGTTTGTGTCGTGAGCTTGCATCACATGAAGATCGTTTTTTACATACTTTCGTATATCTCAAGATTTATTCGAAGAACTACATGAACTGCTCATCCCAAAAATAAGAAAATGTATCACAAACTGGAGGACGCCTATTTCTACAAGAGAAAGACTTGTAATCTGTCTAAGGTAAGAAATATTTATTTTTTTATATACATGTTCATTGCGTTATCATTATGAAAATCAATCAAAATCAGCTGAGTTGTAATCAGATGTCAATGCTCCAAAATTATTTACATGTAGAATATCGATTTCGCGTAGTGGTTGACGTAGCTGCTCAGGCTGTTGCAGGTATGATGAAGTACTGTTAGATAAATCTATAACAGCTACTGGGGATGAATCTTCGGGCACAGAATTGGGTACTACATAGCAGACGGAGTCTTCGGTACTAATAATGGAGTAATGTGGTGAATTCAATATCTGGACGTTTTCTTGCAGTTCCTCTTTTTCTATGCTTGCAAATAACTTGGCTAGTTCTACTTTGGCTTTTATCTGTTTGGTCTTTGGAAAAACTTTTAAATGTTTGGGCATAACTTTGGAATAGGTGATCTATGGCATCATACTCTTGTTTTTTTTATTTTGAAGAAAATTTATAACTTTATTCATTTCGCTGTCAGTTTTTTTATTTTCTTAGCTCGTGAAGTATTTGTGTCATTTGTTTGGGGCGTCTCTAGCGGAGGTGTTTCTGGCGGGGGTGCGCTTTGTGTTCTTGGTGGAGGTGTCTGTTAGATTAGTTTCTATAGCTGACGAAGTTTCTGGTGTAGGTTCTCGAATATTTGAAGTTGTTTCTCGATCTGTCAGAGTTGAGTCAAGGAACTGTAACTGGGAAGCCCAAGGCCATTTTGTAAATTTTTTTTGCAGCTTGTCCTGTAATACCTGCAACCTCTTTTTTGTATCTCATATAATTGTCCTTCAAGCTCTACCATTTTTTTTAGCTACTTCACCTGTAAAATAAACATAAATTGTATTATTTTGTTTCAGGTACTTAGCTACGGGTGATTCACATCAGACCATAGTATTTTCCTTCCGAGTAGGTCGTTCAACAGTCGGTGGTATTGTAAAAGAAGTCTGTACAGAAATCTGGAATACATTACAACCAGAATATATGCCATCGCCTACTGAAGAGACATGGAAACAATCAGAGAAGGGTTATAGGGAAACCTGGAACTTCCCGAATTGTGTCGGTAGTATTGACGGGAAACATGTTTCTATAAAGTGTCCCAAAAATAGTGGATCAGAATATTTTTGCTACAAGAAGTTTTTTTCTCTAGTTATTCTTGCTATAGTCGATCCATGTTACAAATTCACCGTCATAGATGTCGGTAGTTACGGGCGGCATAGTGATAGTGGTATATTCGAGAACTCAATATTTTATCGGCAATATATCCACGGAAAATCTCTGCTGCCAGATAAACCTCTTCCAGGCACCGAGGAGCCCGTACCTCATGTACTTATCGGCGACGAAGGTTTTGCTTTAAAAACATATTTGATGCGTCCATTTCCAAGAGCCTTAGCTACACAAGACGAAAGAAAAACAAAATTTAATAAAAGACTTTGCAGGGCACGTCGGGTGGTTGAAAATACGTTCGGAATATTAGCACAAAAATGGCGCATTTTTTTACGACCTATTGACTGTGATGTGGACACAGCAATTGATATTATTAAAGCTGCATGTTGTTTACATAATTACTTACAAACAAAACAAGGTACAGCGATATTAACTCCGGAGTCGGAAGACGAAAACGTACCTATGCGTGCTCTAATAACTCATCGTCCAACAAATAGAAGATCAACGACTGCAGCATTCGAAACTCGCGAATAATTTGTGTCTTATTTTAATCAATAAACGATTTTTTTACTTACCAGTTTCATTAATTTCTTCTCCGATTTGTGCCCACAATTTTGCCTTCATTGATATATCTTTATACGAACTATCCTTCGTATTATATAAGCATGGATATTTTCTAACCAATTCTATCAAATTTTCGGTCATTATGCAGTATTTTATTATTATTTTACACCTATTCACTCCGACACTAAAATAAAATTTGTAAAAAAATACAACACCCGACGTTAAAGCGTCCTAACGCCGCGACAGAGCGTTGCGTACTGCTAGCGTCGGCGCTCTGTTTGACGGTATTCTACGATGGTAGTACAACACATCTTAGCGTCATAGCGCGGCGTCAAGTTAACGCTCTGATGCGCGCTAAGTACGCGTCCTGTCTGACAAAGCCTTAAAACCTTTAGTGCAATTTGATTATGATAGAGGCATTAACTTCGACACCATGACGTGCTGAGGGTAGAGGAGAAAACAGGCGTGCAATAATTAAACGAGTGCAAGGAATAAGATTAAAACTTTTTTATTAGGTTTATGTTAGCGAATCTTCTTCATAAATGTTTTTGTCTTGTTCATAATTGTCTTCTTCATAAATGTTTTTGTCACAAATTCATTTCAGAATCGTTTTGTAAAAATATTTGATAGTATTTACTGATTTTTGACTTAACATGACGAAATAAAGAAAGAATTGAATGAATGACGTAATACAATAACAAGAAAGAAGTCGGGGCTGTAATTCTTCTATACATTATTTCCTTATTCATGTGCAACTATTTTATTATCTTTAGTTATTTGAAGTCGGCTTTGACATAAAGTCAATTTGATCTCTTTTAAATTGATGGGAATGGTATCGTAAAATACTACATATTTTGTACCTCGCTTAGAGCCGGGACGGTATCAGAGGCAGTTGGGTATGAGTATTATCACACCAATCGATTGATCGTCGATCAATGGCATCGATTGATGGTAGAATGGATTAGTCGACGTTAATCGATAGTTTCTACCACATCGATCGATCGATGGCATCAATCGATGGTAGAATGGATTAGTCGACGTCTATCGAGCTGCTTGATTATTTGAGAACCTATCTACACCGACCGCTCCCTATTGTACTTTTCTAAATATATTTTGAACGATACTGATAATGAAACCACAAATACATCGATTAACTGTCGATCGATGATTAAACAACGTTTTATCGACCGCTATCCGTCGATCGGCTAAAGCTACCACACCGATCGTTGGACATCGATCGCAATCAATCATTGGCATCGATTGACGATTGATCGATCGGTGTGGTAAAACCCTAAGTGGCGGAAATAAGAGTATTTGAGATATGACTACATATTCGTGCCGTTTGCTGTAGAGATTATCGGTCCGTGGGATCCACGTGCGGTAGAATTTCCTAAACGGACTGTATCGGCGACAGCTCGTCGCTGCTGGAAATAAGAGGGCTTGTTCTTTTCTCGCTCAAAGGCTAAGTATAGCCGTTCAACGAGGAACCGAAGCCAGCGTACTTGGCATGATACCACTGGGAGAGTACCACTGTATGATAATTTAAGTTTTAAGTTGCATTTTTTTATTACAGTTCTTAGTTTTGTATATATTTTATTGTAATATTATTTTGTTTAATTTCACCGTGCGTAAACAAGCCAAGGATTTGATCCTCATCGACGGAAGTAAAATAACTGATGATTGAAATTTTATTTGCTGCTTGATTATGTAGCTCGACGATGAAGTAAAGCGTCGCGACAAAACCTGCATGACGGAGAATTAAAATATATAAAAGACAAAACTAACTTCATGTTACTCTTAATAAAAGTACCCAAAATCAACACCAATAACCAATATGCATAAAACACATAAAAAGCAAACACACAGTAGTAAAATCTCGATACAATTAATATCATGATATTCAGTCCTTATCTATGGAACCCTCTTGATCTGTATAAATAAATACAGCAGGATAAGACTACAATACTATGAAGGTATTTAAGCACTAAAATCAAACTATTAATATTTACTGATACCCATATCAACAGAATTACGTTATATTCATAATACTAACGATTATTATACTCGTATTAAAGTGATTAAATTCAAATTGTTTTTATTATTTTGTTCTTTTTTTAACTATGCTTTGCGATTTGAATTATCAGGTACATTAAGATTTTTTTGCACATTCTTTGAGTTGGACGTACGTTGTTTTCTTATAAAATTTTCCCCCAAATTGTCACCCACCAACAAGTCACATGATCATAACTGGGAACAAGGTAACTTCCGTATACTACTCACAAACTACAATGGGCTCTGACTAAAATATTAGAGATGTTAATAACTTCGCTAGGATGATTAAACATAAATACTTCTGTTATTTTGTATTTAAATTATTTTTTATTCAAAATCTTAAAATACTACTAAATGGAAGTGAAAATCTGAGACCCAATTTCGGCTCAAGTACAATAAACAAATTCAACAAATTCTGTATAAAATGTTTACATATCATTTCATTCCGTTGGCTGTTGATTTTCAAAAATTATTTGTCATTTAACTTTTATATCTTCTAAAGTATACATTTTCACAAATTAATTTTTATTTTGAGTAGTTTAGCCTCAGTGCTCTTCTTCTATAGCCGACTTTTCTCTATTCGTCCTTTTTGCTCCATACTTCTGGTTACGCGAAGTCTTCTTCAATTATTATCCGATTTTATTGATTGTTTTTTTTTTTTAAATTAAATAGACTAAATTTCATAACGAATACAATATTTATATAAAAAGGAGTCACATCTCAAATATTACATTAAAAAAATGGAAGCAATTCAATTTGAATAAAAAAATCCATCTCTAAGGTTGAGAAAATAGAGGTGAAGTTTCAATGTAACTAGAGAACTTCAGTGAACTAAGAGGAATAAAATAATTTCTATTTAATAGCCTTTGAAGCGAGTGCTTTAATTTTTCGTTATGATGTGAATAATTGTTATTTTATAATGTTTTGCAAACATTGTAAAAATAAATAAAGATAACAAAGGGCGAACTGCACTATACCTAACCTTGACTCTATCGTACCCAGGGTTGATTCTACCAATCAATCATAGGTATATAAATTCTAAAATAGGTTTTTCTTCTAGAATATTCTTGTTATTTACTGTTTATTGAAAGTTTAAGTTTATTATATTTCATTTAATAGCTATTCACATAAGAATTTTGCTAAAACCATAAAACAGTCATTAAAGTTTTATCTTTCGGGTTTAGAGGAGTTATCTTTCGGTCAGCCTTGTGTCAATTTAATAAAGTACTTGTCTCTGAACTCTGCATTAAAAGTGCAGTTTTCTTCATTACAGCTACAACATTGGTAAGCAAATTATTTGAGTAAATTAAGGCTTATAGTTCTACCCATATTTACAATGTTGTAAGTTTTGAACAGGTGACATAATTTCATTTTCATAAAGTAATGATTCGAACAAAAAACTGATACTAGTTTTTTTTTTATTAAAATACGGATTTGGTCGGTTTATTTGGGCGTTGTTTATAGATATTATTTTGCTTGTTTATGATCACGTAGAAGCTTATTGCATTGCATGTGCTCCTCTCGTTATAAATTAAAAAAAAGTAAAGTTACAGCTTATATATGTCCCACTGCTGGGCACAGGACTCACCTCATTTCTGAGAGGGTTTTAGGGCAAGGAAGTATACGT